ACAAAAATCCTCACAACTGGACCAATAAGCAGCATCACGATAAATGGAGAGAAGATTGAGGTTGTCAAAGAATTCATGTTGCTTGGTTCTACAATCGAGGCCAATGGAAGCAGCAGTCAGGACATCTGATGATGTATAGCACTGGGTAGGTCAGCTGTGAAGGAACTCTTTCAAGTGTTGAGGAACAAGGATATCTTCTTGAAGGCTATGGTGCACCTGACACTAGCCATGATATTTCCAATAGCCTCGTATGCATGTGAGAGCTGGACAATGAATAAGGAAGACCAAAGAAGAGTTGATACTTTTGAGTTGTGATGCTGGCAAAGAATGCTGAAGGTACTATGGACTGCCAAAAGAAGTAACAGATCTGTCCTGGAGGAAGTGTAGCCAAGATGCTCCTTGGAAGCAAGGATGGCCAGACTTTGTCTCACCCACTTTGGTTATGTTGTCCAAAGGGACCATTCCCTGGAGGAGAATGTCATATTTGGTAAGGTGGAGGGTCCATGAAATGCTTTCTGTGAGATGGATTGACACGGTGGCTGTGACAATGGGCTCACGTATAGCAAAGATCATGGAGCTGGCGCAGGATCGGGCAGTGTTTTATTCTGCTGTGCATGGGGTTGCTATGAGTCTGAAGCTACTTGATGGCACCTAACAACAATAAAAACAAACTGTAAAGGCATTTATTAAAATTAGCCTTTTATTCATTCAAAGATACCCTAAGTAAACTAAAAGACATGACACATATTGGATTAAAATATCTACATTAAGATACATTAATGACAAATGATTAATATCTGTAACATAATGATCCACAAATAAAACTGAAAAAAATGCAATATATATTTGACACAGTCTTTCACAGAAGAGAAACTATGATTAAGAAATTAACAATTGCAAAGATGCACAACCACTTTAGCAATCCAGGAGATGCAAAATAAAATTACAATAAATAGTATTTCTTATCAAATAAAGTGGCAAACAATAAAAATTAGAAAATACATAATGTTGGAGATGATGTCACAAAATGCATGTAACATGCTTTTATATTGCTGACAGCAGTATCAATTAGACACCATGTTTTAGAACACAGTTTGACATTAGGTTAAAGTGCTAATAGATGCTTATAGCAGAGGAATTGTATTTCTAGTGTATCTTAGAGAAACAATTTTATGGAGAGAAAGAGATATGTACACTAATTAATATTTATATCAACATTGTTCATAATAGATAAGGATTGATAACACAAATATTCATCACCAAAAGAATGAATAACTAATTTGAGTATAGTTATGCAACAGTGAGAAATGAATGGACTACATGAACACAGTTGCATTTCAAAACTTTATATTTAAAATTACAAAAACAAATCAATGTTTACTCTAATATTGCTTTATATAATGTTCAGAAGTAGGTAAAACCATACCACATTTTCTTAAGATTACATATATATGTGCTAAGATGAAGTAAAAATAAAATAATACAAAATTAGAACAGTGGTTACTTCTTCCTAAAAATGGGAGAAATTCCATTTCTTTACCTAGATGTAGTGGACATAAAGGGGGTTAGTTTATTATTTTTTTACATACTTCCTGTGCATTTGAAAGTTTACAAAATAGCCTGTACAATTACAAAAGAATTGAGTTTATTGAAGATGCTTATAGCTCTGTAATGATGAATATGGAAAAGCTAAAAATGCACTTAAAAGTACTTATTTTAACTATAGGCAAAATTATAAATATTAAATCACTTTCACATTGAGATTAGGCTGACACAGTTATTTCATTTTATATATAAGCTTATTCAACTGAATCTTCTCTATAAGAGGAACACATTAAACTCAAAATAAATGGATATATGAGGAGTGAATTCATTTATAAGGGGGTAAAGTTCTATTTTGAATATAAAGTTAGGAGTACTGTTCTGGGTAATTAGAAAAAAAATCTGCTGTATAAAGCTACCAAAATTATATTTTTTGTAACATTCAAATCATATCAGAGTAATTTATAAATGGATAAAACACATAACAAATTAATGTTAGTCCATTAAGGCAATTTGAGTTTGTAACTAGAATAGCTAATGAACCTATGATGAGGGCTTGTGTGTGAATACATATCAAAATGCATTTAGACATATGCTCCATTAAATTTTTACTGAATTTGACATGTTAATTTTTTAAAGTTTATGATTTTATAAAGTAGACCTTAATATCCTTTTTAATTAATACTGAATTTTGTATTATAATGTAGAACTCTTTTTACTTCTTAGTACTTACTCTTCCTTAAGCTATAGGGATGAGCTACTTTATAGTTATATTTTTGCAGTATAACTTTAAATATGAAGAGTTATTTTACTAAATGGCATGTTGGAATGATTATTTTTGGTGGCTGAACAGTGCACTCCTACATATCAGGCTTATTCACTAAAGATTAATGTATCCCCTGTAATAGGAAAATGAATTTCAAATACTAGTGATATAAAAAGTGATTTCTGTCATCTATAACTAGTCAATAATACTAATGGAACCTTGTCTTATTTATCTGGTGCTGCTATAACAGATATACCACAAATGAATGTCTTTAACAAACAGAAATTAATTTTCTTACAGTTTAGGAACATAGCACTCTGAATTGAGTGTCTGCTAGAGGGGAGGGCTATTTATGTGTTGCCTCTGGAGAATGGTGGTCCTTATCTCTTCTTAGCTTCTACTCCTGGGCAATCATCAGGTGGCATGGCATTTCTCTTTCCCCATCTCTACTTCTCTTGCCTCCTTGTCTAATCTCTTTTATATCCCAAAAGAGATTGATTTAAGACATACCATACACAAAAACTTTCTCATTAACATAACAAAGACAACTCATTTCCCAATAGTATTTTTACAGCAGGCATGGAGGATAAGATCTACAACACATATTTTTGGGGCACATAATTCATTTCATAATTCAAGCACCAACAGTGTTTAGAAAATTATGCAATATGTTCTTGTTGTTAGGTGCCATTGAGTCATCTTGGACTCAAAGCGACCCTATGCACAACAGAACGAAACACTGACCAGTCCTACACCAGTCCCATGATCCTTGCTATACCTGAGTCCATTGTTGCAGCCACTACGTCAATCCATCTTATTGAGGGCCTTCCACTTTTTGTTGACCCTCCACTTCACCCAGTATGAATATCTTCCTCCAGGGAATGGCCCTTTCTGACAACATGACTAAAGTAAGTGAGACCAAGTCTGACTGTTCTCGCTTCCAAGGAGCATTCTGGCTGCACTTCTTCCAGGACAGATTTCTTAGTTCTTTTAGCAGTCCACAGTACATTCAGTAATTCTTCTCCAGCGCCACAACTCAAAAACGTTGACTCTTCTGTCTTCCTTATTCATTGTCCAGCGCTCTCACGCATATAAGGCGACTGAATATACCATGACTTGGGTTAGGCATACCTTAATCTTTAAGGAGATATCTTTACTCTTCAGCACTTGAAAGAGGGTGTTTGCAGCAGATTTGCCTGCCCATTGCTATACGTCATCTGATATCTTAACTGCTGCTTCCATTGGTGTTGATTGTAGAAACAAGTAATATGAAGTCTTTGACAACTTCAATCATTCTCCATTTATTGTGATGCTGCCACTCTCTGTTATCCACATACCCCATAATTATTTCTAATGTACAAGCAGGTAAGAGAACATTCAATAGCCATAATACATTCAGATAAACACATAATCCAAAACACATAATACTTTTAAAGACATTCCAGGTTCATCTCTTCACCTTGATTACCATCCCATTCTATGCATATGGCCTTGGGCCTTTGGCTGGGTGTAACCAAAAGCCATAGCCTCTGGATCAATTACCTATTTTAAGAGGTAACACCAAACAAAGTAACCATCTAAGAATCCAAAGTTTCACTTTCCAGGCCCCTTCCTTCTTTCTTTTACAAAGTCTGGTGCTTCTATGAGTCTGGAGCCACTGCAACGAATCCCACCACTTCTGACACCAACTGCAAAAAGGGCAAGGAGGCCACATATTCTGACCTCATAGAACCCCACAAGAGGAAGGCAGAATCACCATCAATAGCCCAAGGCCTATTCCTGCCAGGCCAGACACGCTGCCTCCCTCCAGCCCTTTCTCCAACTGTTCCTCCCAAAGCACCCACCACCTCTCTCCTGGGTTCGTTAATTCACTGCAGTGGCCACACAGAACTCACAAATTATGGGGTTTATTAGGGAAGCATCACAGGCTACAATTCGAGTTCAGGAAAAAATGCTCAGTCTCTCTCCCAGCCCACCGTCTCTCAGCCAACAATGTCTCACAGTCTCTTTCCCAGCAGTGCTGGTCCCTCGGTGTCTCACTCAGCAATGGGTGTCTCTTGCGTCTCTTTCCCAGCAAAGCGTGTCTCAGGAGCCCGTGTCTCTTTCAGCAGCAGGTCTTCCTCAGCAAGCAATCAGAGAGAGTTCTGGCTCTAGGAGGCCTCCTTTTGAGCCTGGCAGGGTGGTCAAACTAGCCAATCACAGCATCAGAACTCTAAGCATCTGAGAGAGAGTGGGAACCTCCCAGAACATTGTATTGTGCCACGCCCAACAGAAATAACCCAGGTAGATAAAATTTACAATCAGGAGCTTCTCAGTTGCTCATTCCCCACTGAGTTTACAATGACTTATGGGTAGAAAAGCCATACTAAGTAATTTACTACACTGCAATTATTATTACTTATTACTACCAATATATGAGAATAATAACACAGAAAGTCTATTCTTATAAGTTGTTTTCTTTATGTTGGTGAAATATATGAAAATGTTTTCATGCCTTGGGAAAATGACATTGGACAGAACGAACATAAAGCTATGCATGCAAAGACTGTTTAGAGCTTCCTCTTTCATTGAATTGAAGCCTGATCTACAATTGTTCCTTCTGTAGACTCTACTAGAGTATTCCTAATACTATCATAGCATTTTATGTTGATGAATAGAAATGAAGCTTAAGTTCTCTTTGGTATTTTTACAGCTTAAACAATGGAGTACTTTTGGGACCCTGGAAGTTTTAACTCAGCCTGCCTTAGAAACACAGGCATACACAGTGGTAACAGAAGAAGACTGTGAAATTCTTAAAATCCCTGCAAAGGAATATGCAAAGATAAAATCGGTATGACCATTTCTATTCCAATCTTAATTTAATATGGGCAAAAAGTAAGCTAACTGTTGCCACTCTAGAAAGAAGGTGCTCTTATCTTTTTTTATTTGTATGTTTTTAAAATTTGATGTGGAGACCATAAAAATGTAGCCTGTTTGTTGAGAATTGTTTAAGCCTCTGCTGGCAGTTATAGTTAAAATGGAAACAAACATGTTTATGGATATATTTTATGTTTGTTTTTTATTTTTATTTTCATTAAATTCAAATTAATGAATTAATACATTCATTCATTTATTCAATAAGATATATTTTGTGTGTCTACAGCATGTCAAAGGAGCCCTGGTGGGGCAGTGGTTAAGCATTCGCCTGCTAACCAAAAGATGGGCAGTTTGAACCCAGCAGCTGCTTCATGAGAGAATGATGTGGTAGTCTGCTTCCATGGATTTACAGCCTTGGAAACCTGATGAGACAGTTCTGCTCTGTCCAATAGGGTCTCTATGAATCTCAATTTACTTGATGACAGTGGGTTTGGTTTATAGTTTACAGTGTGTCATGTTCTAAGGATGCCACAATAATCAGACATAGTACTGCTTCTGCCCACCAAATCTTATTGTCTACCATAGAAGATAAAAGCACTTGAAAGTTATTGCTATTTTGTGCTTAAAGCAGACCTCCCTCAAAACTTAGAGCACTGTGAATGCATGATCACAGCTGAATTCTTATTCCCCAATTCTGCTGCTTTAAGATAAATTATTTATTTCAAATTTATTATTTTATTATCTTCCAGTCAAATCCAAAGTATTTCTTCTCACCTATTTCTATTCCCCTGGATAGGAGAGGATATGGGTAAAAATCATGTGATTGGAAGGCCTCAATATTCCTTCTGTTCTAGTTCTTCTGATAGGTTCTGAACCCTAGTGTAGGGTGTTGGCATCAGCAATGGTTGGGTCCTCAAATGGGGAGACATGGGGAATAATCCATCTTCTTGATTTATGTCTCTGATAGTGGGGGTCTCTTTTGATGAGGTGGTCTCTGTTATAGTAGGGCAGATAGCTTTTTCAGATTTCATCTTCATTCCCAATCCCTGGTGTTAATTTCTTTAGCTTTTCAGAGTGTCTGGATTACAAAGAAAAACAAGTTTAATTTTTAATTCTAAAACTCAGTACAATTGAATTAATATTGTCAAATACCACTTTTGAGTTTAGTCTTGATAATGACAAGATGTTTAAAAGATAGTAAATTATTTATAGAAGTTTAAAAATATTAAGAAAAATGGGATAACATAATTTTCACAGATATGAAGTTTAAATTTCAATGTGTGGTATCATAGTTATGTATCATAGTTCAACTACAATAAATTTGATTTAAAAATGTTTGCTACTAATTCATATAAACTGACAACACTCATTTGTCACTTTGTCATATAGTGGTGTCTTGCTTGTTGCTGTGAAGCTGGAGACTATGCCACCAGTATTTCAAATACCACCAGGGTCAACCATGGTGGACAGCTTTTAGTAGAGCTTCTAGAGTAAGAAACACTGGGAAGAAGGACAGGGCTGTATAGTTCTAAAATATTTGGCCACTGGAAACCTTAAGAATATCAGTGAAACACTGTCTGATATATTACTGGAAATCTTTATAAAGAGCTGTGACACATTGTCTGATATAGTGCCAGAAGATGAGCCCCTCAGTTCAGAAGGTACTCAAAATATGACTGAGAAAGAGCTGCCTCCTCAAAGTAGAGTTGAGCATAATGACTTGGATGGAGTAAAGTTTTGGGATCTTCATTTGGTGATGAAGAATGTCAGAAAATGGGAAGAAACAGCTGTAAACATTCATTAATAATCAGAACATGGAATGTATGAAGTATGAATCTAGAAAACTGGAAGTTTTCAGAAATGAAATGGAATGTACACAGATCACTATCCTAGGCATTAGTGAGCTGAGATAGGTATTGTCCATTTTGAATCAGATAATCTTATAATCTACTGTTCTGGGAGTGACAAATAGATGAGAAATGGCATATCATTCATTGTCAAAAAGAACATTTCAAGATCTATCTTGAAGTACCGTATTGTCAGTGATAGGATACTATCTATATGCCCATAGGAAGACCAGTTAATATGACTCTTATTCAAATTTATGCACCAACCACCAGAGCAAAAGGTGAAGAAATTAAAGATTTTCACCAATTTCTGCAGTCTGAAATTGACCAAACGTGCAATCAAGATGTATTGGTAATTAATGGTGACTGGAATTTGAAAGTTGGAAACAAAGAAGCATCATTGGTAGCTGGAAAATATCATCTTGGTGGTTGAAATGATGCCAAAGATCGCATGATAGAATTTTCCAAGACCAAAGACTTACTCATTGCAAATACCTTCTTTCAACAACATAAACAGCAACTATATATGTGGACCTTGCCAGATTGAATACACCGAAATCAAATTGACTATTTCTGTGGAAAGAGGAGATGGAGAAGCTCAATATCGTTAGTTAAAACAAGGCCAGAAGCTGACTAAGGAAAAGACCACCAATTGTTCATATACAAGTTCAAACTGAAGCTGAAGAATGTTAAAACAAGCCCAGGAGATCCAAAATACAACCTTGAGTATATCTCACTGAATTTAGAGATCATCTGAAGAGTAGATTTGATGCACTGAACACCAGTGACTGAAGACCAGATGAGTTGTGGGATTATATCAAGAATATCATACATGATGAAAACAAAAGATCATTAAAAAGACAAGAAAGGAAGAAAAACTAAATTGATGTTAGAAGAGACTGAAACTTGCTCTGAAATGGAAAGTAACTAAAGAGAAAAGAAGAAATGTTGAAATAAAAGAGTTAAACTGAAGATTTCAAAGGGCAGCTTGAAAAGAAAAATAAACTCTTATAATGAAATGTGTAAATACCTGAAATCAGAAAACCAAAAGGGAAGAGAATGCTTGGCATTTCTCAAGTTGAGAACTGAAGAAAAAAATTCAAGCCTTGAGTTCCAATATCGATGGATTCTATGGGCAAATACTGAATTATGCAGGAAGCAGCAAATGAACACAAGAATAAATGTGGATACACAGTTACTATATGAAAAAGGCTTGGTTGACATTCAAATTATAGGAGGTAGCATATGATCAAGAACCAATGGTATTGAAGAAAGAAATCCAAGCTACACTGAAAGAAAACAAGGCTCCAGGAATTGAAGGAACACCCATTGAGATGTTTCAAGAAATGGATTTAGTGCTGGAGATACTTATTTGTTTATGGTGAGAAATTTGGAAGACAGCTACAGCGTTAACTGACTGGAAGAGATAGATATTTGTGCCCATCCCAAAGAAAGATGATCCAAGAAAATTTGGAAATTACCAACCAATATCATTAGTATCACACACAAATAAAAATTAGCTGAACATAATGCAAAACTGTTATAGCAGTATATTGACTGTGAACTTCCAGAAATGCAAGCTGAATTCAGAAGAGGATATGTAATGAACAATATCATTGCTGCTGTCAGACGAATGTTGGCTGAAAGTAAACAATACCAGGAACAAGTTTATGTTTTTTTTATGGCATATACAAAGGCATTTGACTGTGTAGATCATAACAAATTATGGATAACATTGAGAAGAATAGGAATTCCAGAACACTTAATTGTGCTCATAAGGAAACTATACACAGACCAAGAGGTTGTCAACATAACTGAAGAAGGGAATACTGCATGGTTTGAAATCAGGAATGGTGTGTGTCAAGATTGTATCCTTTCACCATACTTAATCAATCTGTATGTTAAGCAACGAATCCAAGAAGCTGGGCTATGTGAAAGGAACTCTGGTGGTGTAGTGCCTAAGGCATTTGACTGCTAATCAGAAGGTTAGTGGTTTAAACCCATCAGCCACTATGCAGAAGGAAGATGGAGCAATCTATTTCCTTAAAGATTTGTCTCCTTGGGAACCCAATCAATTGATTGTGTTTGGTTTTTCGACTACATAAATGAGAACACGGCATCAGGGTTGAGGAAGACTCATTAATAATCTATGATATATTGATGATACAACCTTGTTTGCTGAAAGCAAAGAGAATGCATTTACTGTTTAAGATTAAAGACTACAGTCTTCAGTATTGATTACACCTCAACATGAGAAAAACAAAAATCCTCACAACTGGAACAAAAAGCAACACGATAAGTGGGGAAAAGATTGAAGTTGTCAAAGAATTTATATTACTTGGATCCACAACCAACACTCACACAAGCAGCAGTCAAGAAATCAGATGTCATATTGTACTGGGCAAATCTCCTGCAAAATACCTGTGTAAGGTGTTAGAAGCAGAAATGACACTTTGAAGACTAAGGTGTGCTTAACCCAAGCCATGGAATTTTCAATAGTCTCATATGCATGTGAAAGCTGTACAATAAATAAGGGATATTAAGGAAGAGTTGATAACTTTGAACTGAGGTGTTGGTGAATGATGCTGACAATACCATGGACTGCAAGAAGAACGAACAAATCTGTCCTGGAAGTGCACCTGGAATGCTCCTTAGGCTCAAGAGTGGCCAGACTTCATCTCACTTACTTTGGTCATGTGGTCAGACTAGGCCAGCCCCTGGGGAAGGATATCATGCTCGGTAAAATGGAGAGTAAGAGAAAAAGGGGGAGACTCTCAATGAGATGGACTGACACAGTGGCTGCAACAATAGGCTCAAGCATAGCAAGGATTATGAAGATGGCAGAGGGCTGGACAGTGTTTCATTCTGTTGTACACAGGCTCTCTGAGTTGGAATCAACTCGATGGCATCTAACAGCATACTAATTTAAATTTACATATTCTTATTTTTGTGGCCTTTCATTGTTTTTCCTCTGTTTCCTTTTTTAATTACCTAGCATTTATAATTTAATAATTACATCTTATTTCAGGAAAAATTAAAAGTTGAAAATATGCAAAAGGAGCAATTAATTCGTAAGTGTCCATACTATGCAGAGTGGCCCACCTTATCTATATACGAGCTGATTGCACTCATCAAATGGAAAAAGTTTCCTCCAGGTCATGGTGAGTTTAATGCAATTTTGTATCATTTTTTTCCTACAAAAATAATAAATAAACCTCACATAGACCTCACATATATATTTGATATAACTTTATATTATCAGAATTTGTAATTCATCATATTTTAATAGTTTCATAAAATATTTCTTCATATAGATATTCTCTAATTTATTTAATGACTATCTTTGAATTGGATTAGATTATTTTGTTTTTCATTTCATGTCTATGTGAGGTTTCTTTATTATTTTTGTGTCTCTATATTTTATTGATGGTTTCAATGTGAAGTCTTCAATTATTTTTTCCTCATAAGTTCCAGAAAATGTATCTCAATTATATTTTTAAATATTTCCTTTACTTTACTTTTATTTTTCTCACTTTGGAGACCTCTATTATCTGGATGTTAACGTATCTGCTTATATTCTCCACGTAACTTATTATTCTCTTTATTTCTCCTTTCTTTTTCTTAGGAACTTTTAAATAAGTTTTTTTACATATATGTGAGTGTAGATTATACATATATATCCATTGCTATTGAGTTGCTTCCAACTCATAGTGTTCCTGTAGGCCAGAGTGGAACTGCCCCGTGAGTTTTCCAAGCCTGTAGTCTTTATGGAAATGGACTGTCATATCTTTCTCCCATGGAGAAGCTGATGCCAGTTTTTCAGTTAGCAGCTGAGTTCTTAACAACTACACCACCAGAGAAACATACATACATACAGATTGCTCAATATTCCTTCTGAGGAGTGGCTGGTGTGTTTGAACTGCCTGCCTTCTGGTAAGCAGTCAAATGCCTTAGGCACTATGCTGACAGAGCTC